AAAACTATAAATATTATATATCATATTATAAAATTAATCAATAAAAATAGATATTAAAATATTTGAGGTAATAAAATTTAAAAAGATATCTTACTTTTTCTTGTTCGCTATCCGAATCGTTATCAGTATCTTGTTCGTTTATAGAAGTTGAAATACTCGTTTGGTACATGCTTCTTTTACCGTACGTACGCTGGGCTATTTTATAATACTAAAAATAAAATATACAATCTACACATTCCATAATAAATAAAAAATTATTTGAAAAATTATATAATCATATATTATAGAGTATCAAATTAGATCACAGTATCATATCACAGCACGATCGTGTTGATATCGTAAATATAATCTATATCAAATCAAAATAGTTCAATGAACTGTGATGCAACACAAACTCTTAACAGTAGTCCTACAATTTTGAAGCTTTTCAAACATTAAAAATTAAAGAATCCAAAAAATTAATTTAATTATAAAATATTATACGGTTTAAAAAATTGACATTTTTCTCACGTATAAGGTTAAATTAAATAATAATAAAATTACAAAAATAATGATATTACAATTCAATTATAAATAAAAATAATACAAAAGTTAGCTACTTTTTACAATTAGCTACAACATTGTACATTTTTAAATCTTTATTATATTTTCCTTAATAAAGAAACTAGGCATGAAATAACAGCAAATAAAACCTTTATAATTATGCTTTTGTCACCACAGTGGGCGTATTTACAAATAAAAAAGTAAAACGGAATAGCTATCTGTTTATAATACATGACTTTTATTAGGAATATATACGTAATATTGACCTTAAACTCTACCGGCATTTTGTAAAATAGCTAAATATTTCAAGAAATAATTTGAAAAATTGGAAACATTTATATAAAATATTATGACAAATTTGATTTTCGTTATAAAAATACTCATAAAAATTTGCTGTCTATAATTCAAAAATATAATTTTTTCCATTGTGGTAATTAGAAAAATATATTATATGTTAATATGTATTTATAATAAAAAATAAATTACCTGTTTATAGTGTTGAATATTTTGTTTTTCTGGAATTCCATGGTATAAAGTAGAAATTGCTCTTTTTTCAAAACATTTGTTAGAAATTACAAATCTTAGACCAGTTCGTAATAATGTCATTTTCATTTTAACGTCAACTGTAAGTTATTTCAAGATAATAAAACTAGAAACGTCCACTTAAAATCGTTTGAGATTCAATACTAAAGTGAAGAAGAGTATCGGGCCCCTTTTGATGGGTCGGTCTCAAATTCTCCTCTTTGTTCTTTGCGCATGCGCAGTAGTGCTCTGTTCCCCTTTTTCTTACTTTTCCTTGTTACGAGCGTTTGTGCACGTCCCCTTCTTTTCATAGATAAAACCATAGGCGCGTATATTGACAAAATATACAAAAGGACTTAACTTATCTAACAAATATTGAAAGATATATTTAGATCTATTTAATATTTAAATTTTAATCAATGTCAATAATTTATAAATTAACATTAATTTATACTTTTTCTTTATTTTTTAAATTTCTAGTAATAAAAGGCACAAAATCGTATTAGTTTAATTGTTATAGAAGTATAGTAAAGATACATTTATAACAGAAAGTATACTTTGTATACAATTATAACATAAATTAATATTAAGTTTGTATTGTATATTTTATATAAATAACTGAAGATATATATCGAAATCTATAACAATTAAGAAATTTTTAACTTTGATAACATACAAATATATTTACGAAAATATATAGTAGAAATTTAAAAATATTTAGAACTTTATACATTGATAAAGAAAATATAGTTTCTATTTATTTATTACGCCTATGTCTAAGTTTATCAGTTTATTATGACGCGAAGGAATTTTACGTATAATCAGTCCATTTTAGGAATAAATAAAATTGAAAAAGTAAAAGGAATAATCGAAAATATAAAGATCAGAAGCAAATAAACATACAAAGAAATTTCAAGGAATCACAAAAGTAGGCCATGTTGTATGTATATGTCCATTTAAATGTACATAAATAGATATACGTGACGAGAAGCATGGAGCGATTTAGTTAAGATAACTTTTACTTTAATGTAGCATGAGGAACAATTATTTTTAATTGATATTATTGAACAGTAAAAATTGTAATTGTAACTATAATTTATATGGATTATTATTAAATAAAATATATAATACAATTTATACATGGTATCTTCATTTTATTTACATCAAATGTATTATACAATGTAACTTTTTATATAAATGCTTAAATGTTAATGTAGATACAGCTAATATTTTATATGGATTACATATAGGTTAAATTTCAGTATGAAATAAAAATATTCATAATTTTTTGAATTTCTGCATATATTTCAATTCTTTTTATATTCAATTCTTTCAACTTTTACATCATCACCCACAAGTTGATAGACATAAGTTACAACTGTTGAACTTTGAATATCCATAAGAACAAATGATGGGATAACTGATCTATAAATATAATACATAATAAAATAGAAATATATAAATATATCATGTATCATTTAATATTTACTCTATATTATTAATATAAAAAACATACGTGTCAAGAGGATTATATGCTCCCGTGGCTGAACCAGGATTAATATAAAATTTATTTTCATGCTCATATGCTTCAAATTTATGTGTATGACCTGATATCAAAATATCAACATCTAATTGTCTTTGAATTAAAGCTAATGATTCTGGATCTCCCCAAGGTACCACTTGATGTCCATGTGACAACCCTATTCTAAATTGACCAACAGTGACTACTTTTTGTTCTGGATAGTTTAAATTCTATAAATAAAAAGAAAATGATAAAATATATATAATATTTAAAGAATTATTATAATATTTATCAATATTAAATAAAATATACCTCATCAAAATCTCCTCTAACGACATGTACATCACTAGCTAATGTTTTCAAGTAATCATATGATTCTTTTGTACAAAGATTACCAGTACATAAAATATGTTGTATTCTACCTGGCACTAACAATTTTTTAAATCTACTTGGAAGGCTACTACATCTGTGTGGAATGTGTAAATCTCCCAATACTAAAACAAGCTATAAATAATAAATATTTTCAGTAAATATAATAAAAATATCAATCTAAAAAAAAAATTATGTAATAGAACTTTAACAGTATATATTTAAAATTTTTTAATATAAATTATAATGATAAAAGATAATAATATATTTTATTAAGGTTAGATTATAAGATTAAAGAGATTTGCAGTTACACTTAGTTAATTTTTATTAGTAATATTTCATTTCATTTACTTACCATGACGAATTTAATAGTATTTCTAGAATTCTTATATATTTGTTAGCTCTGATATTTAATTTATTGCATTTGTTAACAGTGAAGTTCACAACTACTGAAATGTCAAAGTAATAGTATGTATGTAGTATGTAGTATGTTTGACAGATAAGCTTTCGGCTTTCGATTTTCGAGATTCGAGATCAATGTTAATTGTCGATTGTTCTTATAATATGTAAAAATATGAACTTCATATTGTTATTTCTAATTTATATTTGCTTATAATGGAAATAATTTTGATAAAATGTATATTTATAATTATTGTATATTTATATTAATTATTTAAATTTCAGATTTTTAAATATACATTTTTAAATTATGATTAGTTTAGTAAATTCAGTTGATATATTATTGACGTGTTGTAGTACACATAATACCATGAATTTCTTTTGTTACTTTTTTGAATGATTATTGAATTCAATCATATTTAATGTTTAATTTGTAAGAAATAATTGAGTGAAAAGGCTTTAATATGAAGTGTGTTATACCAGGAGCAAACGTAAAAAGTATGTTGACTTTAGTTAGGTTATGTTTTACCGGTTTCGTATTTAAGTATTTAATAATGTAATATTTCGATATAATATACTCGTGCATAATAAGATCTATATTAGTTTTAGCAAGGGCTATACATGCATTATCAAGAATTGGAGATGAAATGTACATAGAACCACAGAAAGATGTCTTGTCATTTCGTACTGTTAATATAGCAAATTCAGCATATGCAGATTTTACATTTTTTCAAAGTTACTTTTCATATTATATCTATGGTGATCTACAGGAAAATGATGCACTGAAATGTAAAATTTCAATGAGGGTAATAAGAAATTACTATATTTCATGCAATAGTATAAATTGTAACATTTTTATTTTACAGAGTGCGGTAACTGTATTTAAAGCTCCAAATTTAATAGACAAACAGGTAGAAACATGTCACATTAGATTAGAATCAGATGCATCTGAAATTTTATTTATTTTAAAGTATAAAAATAGTATTACTAAAACACATTTATTACCTATATTAGATTGTGAAATATTACAGGTACGTATTATATACTATTAATAAGTGTTTTTGGTTTTTATTATTGTCCATACTTTTTTCATATTTTTTAGACAACATATAATAAAGATAGTGCATCAGTTAAGCTTACATCACAACCACGAGTGTTAGGAGATGCATTGCATAATTTTCATCAACAATTAATTGAAATAACTCTTGAAGTTGCAGCACAAAAACTTTTATTAAGAAATTATGTTGATGATGCCTCAGGTATATTCCAATAAATTAACAAAACAATATAGCTTTTTCATAAAATAAAATTTAAAAAATTACTAGGTTTATCAAATACAACACGTACACAACTTGCATTTGGAAAAGGAGAATTTGATCGATATGATATTGGTAGTGAAACATCAATTACATTTTGTATGAAGGAATTTAAATCTATTTTAAATTTTGCAGAAATTATAAATATACCAGTTAGCATATACTTTGAAGGAGCAGGAAGGTAAATATTGATAATTTAAATTTGAAGAGCTTGTAACTAAAAATATATATAAACTACTTATTAAAATTTTTTAGACCTGTTATATTTGCAATAAAAAGTCAATCTTTTGAAGTAAATTTAGTATTATCTACATTAAGCTCTGATGCAGATAGTCAAACAGATACAACATTAAGTAACAAAAAAGAAGAAAAAGTTACGAAAAAGAAATCAGTAAACAAACGAGTTTCTAAGAAAAACAATAATAAATCTATGAGTAGAATTAAAAATAAGTCACCTAAATCTAATAATTCATTAGAGAATGTCATTCTTAAAAAAACACAGTCATGTGTTTTGAAAGAACAAAAACAAGAGAATGATTTTAAAGAACAAGCTAATTTATCAATAAATGTAGTTAGTACATCAGAAGAAGATAATCAAAATTTAAATAAAGTAAGTAATTTTCCAACACAAAGAAATCATGAAGAAGAATCTCAAAAAGATTCCTTACATAGTGGTGATATAATTACAAAATTTAATAAAACATCTATAAGTGGAAAGAAATTAATAAACTGTGTCTTTTCTAACATAACAAAAAGAAAATCTAGTAGCAATAAAACTGATAGAGAAAAGAGTTTGAATAATGATAAATCTGATTTATTAGAAGATGAAATAGTAAATTCGTCACCTCCACCAATTAAAAAGGCTCGTTTGATTTTTCAAAAATGTTTTCAAACAACATTTGATCCAAATACATTGCCTGGATATGATAAAATTTTAGCTGAAGACTCAGATGAAGCTTGTAGCGAATAAAAGTGCTTTCTCATAATTTATTTTTTATGTTTTTGCCTCAGTTAGGTAATCTTAAAATTTGTATTATACCAATTTATATCATTAACTTTATTTTGATTAATATAAATGTTTGAGAATGTTATGTACTTATGAATGTGCATACATTTTACAGACAAATATGTATAAAGTATAAATATACGTATATATAGATTTGTTATTATTACATAATCTTATAAATAGTACTTGCTTTAATATTTTATAAAAGTATCAAACATTAATTTTTATCACATTTTACAATTTTATTATATTTATAGTTTGGTTCCTTTAATTCATATCAATGATTATATCAATTATTTATTAGTATTTTTAATTGTAAAATATGAAATTAAAATTCTTAAAATGAAAATATTTTTTATATACTTAGATAGTTAAACAGACATTATGATAAGTTTTATAAAGTTTAATTTTTTAAAACAATATTTTCACCATTTTATTTTTTATTTGAATTATGTACATTTTTTCATAGTTCTTTAGAACATTTTATATATAAAATTAGGGTATAATGAGAAAATTAATATTTTGTAAAATATTTGAAATTTATAACAAGATTTATACTTTATTAAGAACATATTCGACAGTTTAAATAATATTAAAATTAAATAATAAATTCTATATACTATATATTAGATTGAATAGTAAAATTGTTTACTTGTTGACATTGTAATAAACGTTATAAAAATATTATTATTATTAACTATAATAAGCAAATTATTGAAACAAAAGATTATATGGTTCAAATAATTCACAAAATTGGGCAAACTCGATTTTCTCGTAAACGAAGAGCAAACCGATTGAATTTTTCATACTTATTTACGTAAAAAAGGTACCTTCAAACGAAAAAGTGTTATTCCTTTTTTTCGAATTATTTTTGCACGTAGAATCACTCTCTACCCGATGGTACCTATATATATATATATATATATGTCAACAACAAATAGTCTTTCAAAAAATTTAAAATAAGGTCTGAATGTCTAGTAAAGGAACAATTAATTTAACTTTCCTTATACGTGAGAAAATAAAGGACATTATTTATATTTCTTAGTAATCAATTTTCTGAATCCAAAACACAAATGTGGGCGTGTTTTATACCCGTGGACAATTTCAACGAAAGAAGGAGCACATTATCCTTCTTAAAAGCAGACACACCTCTTAAATTAATCATTAAAGATTTGGAAATACAATGCATTGAGCTGTTTCCATAGCGTGTCTGGAAAATTTCATTGACGAGGTTATAAAAAATTTCATTTTCTAAACACGTGTGAAATGGGTGTTATTGAAGTTTCTATCTGAATATAATTTTATGGTCAATATAATTTAACATGAAAATTTATTTCTACCATTCGTTTTAAATGTTTCAATTGTATTATATTTAACATCTTTTTATTGCACTTTTCGTATAGAACATTAAAATATAAAGCAAAATAATAAGCAATACAACAGTTTCACTGCAGCAAACGATATTGATTTTTATCCATATAAAGTTGTAAAGTAGCCAATCAATCTATGTTGAAGGTTGATAAGAGGTATTATCCAAATTATGAAGTGTCATTTGTTCGTCGATCCAACCACGTGCAAATGCAACGTCGGCGTTAACAAACGGAATTCTGTCCAAATAACAACCAATTCCCCATGATACAATACCTGCTTGTACATATCTTCCGGGATCATTTTTACTTGGACATACAAGCGGACTTCCCGAATCACCCTAAAAATATCATTTATTTGCTTTTGTTATGTAGCTGGTAATTACAAATTTTTACGATATCGAATTTATAATAGATTTAATTTACCATGCAAGTATCTTTACCCTCTCCCCCGGCACATATAAAGCCCTCGTGAAGAACGATGTCTTTTTTCTTAGATTGTAGCCTATCCTGACATAGATCACGTGGCATTATCGGCACATCAATCTTTTTCAAGATTGTCTGTATATCCCCACCTGTACAACATATAACGTTTCAGTTAAAAATTTCAGAGGAATTACTTTATTATATTATCATTTTATCACCTGAAACAGGTCTATCTAAATCGACAAACTCAATGGTCAACATTCTTACCCAATTCGTCCGTTCCCCAACCACTAACGTAACATGATGAATTATTAAATACAGTGTTTTGTTCCGGCAGACAAACGACGTTCACGTGTAGCGTAATATTTACTGGCTCAGACAAAATCAAGATGGCGAAATCGTAGCGTGAAGGCCTAGAATTGAACTTTTCATGAACGATTATATTTTTTACATTGCGATCCTGATAAGGAAAAGGTTCATTACTAGACAGTCTGTTCCATTCTCCAGCACGAATTTTTAATTTGGACGGGTTTATCCTGTTGAAAGATCATGTTATTTACTTCGTTACAGAAAGTAAAGCAAATCGCTATTCGCGAGTAATATAAAAGAACATTCAACTATTTACCTATGCACACAACTAGCTGAGGTTAAAACAGCCTGCTTGTGAATTAAAGAACCCCCGCATTGAAATTCAAATTTCTTATCTTGGTCTTTCCGTAATATGATCACCATCCATGGGAATTCACCGAATTGCGCTTTGTTGTCGAAGTCACCGGTAATTTTAAATTCAACACCGTTGGGGTATCTTCTTCCACAACCATAATTCACAATTGGCGGTGGTATAATTGTAATATCTTTTATCGTTTCTGATGTGTCACAGCAGATATTTAGGAAGTCCGTGCATGAATTTGATACACTATATCGTTAATGACGTTAAAATTAGATATACTTGAATCGGTATTGTATAACAAGGAAATAGGAGATAAAAGGAGAATGTTAAAAAAGGGACCATTTTTGTCATTGTCTGGAAATTTTATTACTTAAAATTTATCAAATTTTTTCATTCGAAACTTCGTTTTCGAGAAAAACGACTTTGAATATTCACCGAGTGCGCGTGTACTTAAACTTAAGCTAACAATAAGACGGATGGACCGTCAGTATTGTAGAGATTTTCTTTATCGGCTGGCTTTTTCTGACACACTGACTTCACGGCTTCTACCGACGGACTCTCCATGAGTCTTAACTCTCGATTTTTAACACGCCAAGTGTCACGCTGGTCTCCAGGGACCGGCACTAGACTTTCCGTTCGGGCCCGGCCGGTCCTCATGAACCAGCCCAGACTAGGACCAAAAAGTGCTAACTTTTGGTATTAAATTCTTCGCCATCTTTGTACCTAACGTTTGGGAATTCCTGTTATAACAATTGGTACAGTATCTCCGAGTTTTATGAACACTTCGCTCGCTATCGGTGGTCTACTTGACGGTCGAGTCTGAGCCTGAACGGAACGGCAAACGAAACGGGCGGGGCACTTAACGTGTTAACTAATAGCTCTCAATCACTCTGTCTCTTTTCGCAAATAACTCATGCGCTTGACCTCTGGACATAGGTTTTTAAACCCGTTCAGAGAGCGAGCTCCCTCGCTATTAGCGGTTTGCGGGACCAAGGGTGTGCCCTTGGTCCGCGAATCTGTGACCCCCGTAAAGTGAACTTCTTCCTCCACCAAGAATGAAGACAAGAGGCAAGAATGAAGTTAATAAAAGAAACAAATAAAACCACGAGTCACTCAGTATTTAGGACCTGGCTGCTGGAAGACCCTAACGGGTCCCTTAGACCTAAGTTCCAGATAGGGACACTCTATGCTAATAAACTCTATGCTAATTCCTACAGTATATCACTGCATTCAATGGATATTCGAAGTCAATTTTCTCGACAATGAAGCTTCAAATGAAAAAATTTTATTCTTTATTTTTGATTTGTTTCTTCACGTAGAATTACTCTCTCCTCAGTTGTACCACCCTATGTTGTGATACCCTGTATTTGATCAGTCCCGTTTTCGCATATTTCGATTCATTTTTTACAACTTTCGTATTTCAGCAAAGTGATAAAGGAATTTTTTGTTCTTTGGAGGATGCTCTTAAAAGTCCTGAAGGAACTTTTCATTTCCAGGCGATGCCAAAAATGGCCTCTTTTAAACATCCTCCTTTGAATAATGAAAACACGGTGAAAAATAAAATTGTAATGACCTATAATTATCGTAAAGTAAGTCCTAAGATAGTAGTCTCAAGCGTCTCTTATAAAACATCTAAAGAAAAGCTGAATCTCACGTATTTGTCAAAAAATAAATCATCGTACATGATTTGAAAAGAATGAACTTCGTACGTCCCTGACATTGGTAAAACTAACACACTATTACAAAGTCTTGTAATCTTTGCCGTCCTGAGATCAATCTTAGGAACTCACACTGGTAAATGTCGCGCAATGGTGTTATTATTACCGAAATCGAACCTGATATTAATCAGCCCTGCACCTTGTTCCAGCAGAGGTTGAACTTTGCATCGATAATATGGCACACACTCACAATCTTTCTTTTGAGGAGCTGGCATAGCCAGAGGTAAGCTGACTATCGACAGTGTCAACAATGTTCTCCACATCGTGATGTTGGAGGACCTGAAGCAGTGTCAATCTCAGGGTTAGATAAATGGGTCTTTGAAAGGAGTATGTTAAAAAAGGGCCATTTTTTTTTTAAAGAATTATCTTTTGCGTAATAAGTGCCCCGTCTGGTGAAATTTTTTAAAAACATTATCAAAGGCATGAAAGGTGATTGGATGATTGAGGAAATCTATTCGCGTATAATCTTTCTGCATGTGCAGCACTTTCCCAGTTTCGACATAAATTGATAACATGTCTATCTTTTCTTCTTTAGAATACTTCATTATAAAATGATAATTCACTGTATCAGAATAAATACGCAACAGAAACTAAATTGTACATAAGGAAGTAGTTGAATTATTTTCAAATGTGTACATTTCACAATAAGTACAACATAGAAGATGTTGCGTAATGTAAACAGTTATCACATTGAATTCATAATATTGACCACAATGTCGCGAGTACCTAACAACATTAAAATTAAACTGTCTCCTAAACTAATGGTTTTTTAACATAAATAGGTTAATACTTTTTTCTAGAAAATATGAAGGTAGCATCAGCTGATGTAATAAAAAATATATGATTCTATTTCAAAAAATATTAATGACCTTCATATATCCTTTACACGTCCATCTACAAAGAAACTAGTACCATCAGAATATGCCTTTCTCAAAACTATTCAACTTTATCCGAAACATTTTTCTCTATGCATAATGATAATGACGTATATCTACTAGTAGATGGCAGTATGTGATAACCCACTCTATATTTATAAATAGTCTGTGGCAGATGCTATCTACAATTTTATAACCTATAGTTCAAAAGGATACAATTGATTTCTTTAAAAAGATTAAATTCAAAGTAATAATTAACACATGCATACGGTTCCATACATTTATTCAAAGTGCTCCCAAAGACCGCACATTTTTGAACGCCCCAGAAGCATGCTTGGCAAGCAATACGTTGCATATATGCACATTTTTAATTTAAAATTGGTAATATATTCACATAAAGTATTCTTAGATATTATTATATATTTATTATATAACATTTTTTATATTTTAACTAATATTTATTTCACAAACTTGAATAATGTTTTAGAATGTGATATCTGGTAAAGTATACTTCTTTGTGCAATGGTGTTTGGCACCAGATTGAAAATGTAAATGATTTTTAAAAAGCTATTTCCGTGCAAATTTGCACATATACTTCGAAATAACAAAATGTACAACAATAAAACACTTTATAAGGTATGGTAAACGATCCTCACAGAGCTACCGATGTACTGGCTATACTGACTAATTGTTTTTACATTCTTGGAATGTCAACATTCAGTTATTTCGCTTATCGTTTGTTACAAGAATGCGCAAGGCTTCACTACCCTGGGTAACATAACAAAAACATTAGTCTCTGGTCGCCTAAGTCACAGATTCAATCGAAAAAAGCTGAAAACGAGATATCCCGTGACCCGTACTCAATGTGTTAGGTTAAAAATCATCCTTATTTTAACCACTTGCGCTGGCAAGAAATTCACAGACGCGTGTGCCAGAACGGTCAAGTGTTTCTGTGACAATTGCCTGACGACGTGTGTACCACGTCGTTGGTGATTCTGCGACAAAAGCATTACGACGTGCGTGACACGTCTTTCCAGCGTAAGTGGTTAACACGTTGACTGCCGTGGGGATCATCGGTGACCAGCGACGCGACCAATAATAAAAATACATAATTAGAGTAAATGTCGATAGTGATAAATTTTTAAATAATACCATTGTTTCTATAACGATTTGAAGAAATTAATGCCATACAGGACATGCAAAAATAATTTTCTTAACACAAGGAAAATATACATATTATTTGTACACATAGCGATGAGTCACATTGAAACACTGTAGACAAAGAAAAGGTGAACCAGAACAGTCGGCACAATAAGTCGCTACTCTTTTAGTGCAATTCTTTGCTCTAATTCTCCCTAGCTTTTTTGAATTTTTTTCGTAGCACACTTTGCAAAATCGCCTTACATTTCGCACACTTCCCGGTTCTTTCTTTAATTTGTGGCAACGTTCTTTATGTCCGTAATTACTTGATGAAGTGCAATCTTCAACATCAGAACACTTTACCAAATACATCGTTAACTTCATCCTAAAATCGGGAATTGAAATATTTTTTCCAGTTACTTGTTGGTATAACACTACTGAATTTACAACACAAGTATTCAGTAATAGCTCTATTGCCAATTTCCTGTACCACTTTATGGTTTGAATAAAAATAAAAATTGATGTAAAGTGACAAAATATAATAAACGCACTGACTTGATTGCAAGATGCACAGAATAAGACTAAGAAATCAGAGTATCTGCATAGCAACCGAAACACACCAGTTTGAAAATCGCAAAAATCGTTTGCGGTGCCTCGGGAGTCACCGGTGACCCCACCACGAAAAATGCATGAAACGCAATTATACAACTCACCTTATCTGTTGTAAATAATATTTCAACATAATATGCATCGCATAATAAAAAGTTCATGTTGGCGCTATGGGTAAATCACATAAAATGCGCACAACAGTCAACATGTTAATGTCATTAAGTACCAATAATTAACTAACATTGATTCACCTCACTGCATATTAAAAACAACGTAATACTTACCGTAAATCGATTTTAGATATCAGATACTGCCTATCCTTTTTGAAGAACTGACTATAGGAATGAGATGCACGTTGAAACGATTTGGAGTGACTTCTTCGTTTACATCCACAGTAGTCACGTTCCCAGTATTTATGACAAATACCCCACCAATGTTTACGATTCCTTAATTTTTCATTTCAGCAGCGTTCGTTTGCAGACATATATATATATATAAGTTAGTTCTTAATTCATTGCATAGTCAGTAAATCTCACTGCTTTGAAACCAGTAATTTACATCGAAATGTAAAATACCGGTATTATATTAGTATACCGGTCCATCCTCCTTAGTCCAAGTTTAGTACATACGTACTCGGTGAATATTCAAAGTCGACTTTCCCGATAACAAAGCTTCGAATGAAAAATTATATTCTCTATTTCCGATTTGCTTTTTCATGTAAAATCACCCCTTTCCTGGTTGTACTATCGTTGCTGGGACACTATATAATACACTATATTACTTACAAACACCATCCCAGTCGACAGATATAAATCACATTGAACACTTGTCAGAAAGAGAAAGAGATGTTTGTGAATTATCGCCTAAAATACGCAAAGAATTAAAACGATTTATACAAAAATGGGACAAAAAATATCGTCAGATGTTACAAACAAATTAGTGACACCAATGCCCAAGCGTCTAAAAGGTCTAAGCAGAATTCCACTAAATATTAAACTAATAACTTTTGTTTTATATAATTATAATTCAATTAATTTGTAAGTGGACGAACACTTCTGTGTTCAAATCTTCCAATCGATTATGTTACCTTTTTTAAATTTTTCGCTATGTACAGCAATTACGAATTTCACAAAATTCCAGGTTATCTTAAAATCAAGGTTAATTTTTATGCCTTTTATTTTAATTTTACGCATATCTTTCCTTTCTTTTTTCCTTATACGTGGACGAGTACTTATTCAACCGATTGTAGCTACGTGTCTGTGACAACGTGTGTGTAAGCGATGAGACGTAGATTGTTTATAATTTCTATAAATATATCGAGGCGGCCGGCAATGAACGCATATAACAGATGTACTTGAAAACCCGATCGAGTCGACTTGAATAAAAAGACCTAACCTAACCTTATCCTATCCTGTACAGGTATCCCCTCTTATCGAGATCGAGTGAGACAGCATAATGGCATCATTGGCGTAATCTTTTAGTCTAAAAGTTCCGACTACCGAAACTCGCAGTTCTATGCCGGGGTTAATTCTGACCAATATGGATATTCTACTTATACGTATTTAACACTAGATTTACGGAACCCGTCAATTTGACGGAAGGGTTGCTCCAATTATACGATGGTAACAGATTTAGTTAACTTATAGTAAGACTGTTAATATAATATATAATTGGCATGTGGTTTTTTTTATCTGTTAATTTGACAGGCGCCCTTAGAAATAGGTATACAGCTAGCGTCCATAAACCTAGTGTTAAGTGACGATCGCTCGAGATCGAGGATTTCACCAACACAGTGACAGACAATCGACTCATATAGAACCATGTATATACTAGGAACATATAGGAACAAATAATAATCACATGAATAATAAAGATATTTATTATACATTTATGTATTATTACCTGTAGCGACCAAGTTCTCACCCTCGTCAATAGGTGGATTCCTACTTGAAGGAGGTTCGAGGACTTTCTCGCAAGTCATTGGTGAATCCTTGACCTCCCTTAACACTTTACCGACCGATAGCCTATTAATCGGCTTTTTGTCACCGACACCTATCGACCTATATAGCCTATTAATCGGTTGTCATGGCGATGAACAGTCATTATCGTTATATGAACAATAATTTGTTATTTAGTATTGAGGTATGTTGCTCAGTTGTATCAGTTGCTTTGTAAGCTCCTCATTTTTATATGGGGGCGCCAGGGAGAATCTGCGGCTGAGCGGCCGGTCAGATGTGCTTATACTGTTGAATTGCTAGCGGTCGGTAAAGTGTTAACCACTTGCCGTGCAAAGAAATTCACGGTTACGCGTGCCAGAACAGTCGAGTGCAAATCACTTCGGGGCGCAAATAATATCACTGGTTTCACTATCACTTACCATTTTACAGTCTGGGGTCAATACTGATAACTTTACACGATGAAGTGCAAGCAGAAACTGTGCCTCGGTAAAGAATTTCATTAACAGTTGACGTGCCAGGCACGTCATTTTTCTTTTTGCAACAATCGCCTGACGATTAAGTAATAAATTATCACTTACAAATTTGTGAACAGTTATACTAAAAGTTGAAGAGTATTGTAATATTACAATGTAAAAATGTAATTTTTTAGTAAATTAAAAATTTGAACTGCCCTGTAAATAACTTTTTGTGTGCTTTTTTATACATCATTTCACAATATACTTTTTACTAATAAGAAATTGCAACAATCGCCTGACGATTAAGTAATAAATTATCACTTACAAATTTGTGAACAGTTATACTAAAAGTTGAAGAGTATTGTAATATTACAATGTAAAAATGTAATTTTTTAGTAAATTAAAAATTTGAACTGCCCTGTAAATAACTTTTTGTGTGCTTTTTTATACATCATTTCACAATATACTTTTTACTAATAAGAAGAGTGCAAGTTCTTTGACTCACCGATTTAGTTGAATCTTTGCAGATTTGTAGATTTCGTCATGCAATTCAAGAATATATATCATTATAGACGACACTACTCAATACTTTTTGAGATATTTACGATTAAAATTTTATTACTTCTGTACCTACAGATTTATTTCCAATGCTTTTTAAGTGGAGCTATGACCTAATAGGAACACCCGAAAATTCTTATGAATCAGGTTCGGACTTCGATTCCTGTTCAGAGTTAGTAACTTTTTCAATCTATTTTTTAGTTTGTATTCATTTTTCGCCTATGAAAACATTGTAAATAAACAATTGTAATTAAAATTTCTTAATAAAAAATTAATTTTTTACGCTTTCTTATATAAGTATATATTTATTACAAAATAATAAGAATATTATGCAAGAAAAACAGATTTCTACAGCAATCTTATTTACTACAGAAAGAAAACGAAAATATAAATAATCATTAGATACAGGAAATACAAAATCTATCGCTCATGTAAGTAGTTATTATTAAATTAAACATTGTATAAGAATGTTGCAATAATTCCAACGTTGCTGTGCAGCTATAAATGTTCATGAATTAATTACAAAAAATTGGAAATTTATTAATTTTCTACTGCGGAATTGACTTATTAAGATGTTATAATTTTATTGTCTATTAAAGTGAAAAATTTTACCGCCTGCGATCAACATCATCTATGATTTTGGATCCGAAACTCAGAAAAGTAATAGGAACACAGAATAGGCGAGGAGACAAGTGACAGACAAGTACAGAGAGGGGATAGAAAAGGATAGATTCTTTTGTAAAGAATTTATCGTTAATTAGTTAGTTATTAATTATTGTTTGATGGCGTACATGATTTCGTAACAACGACAGTCACGATCTTCTGTAAAAATATTTAATACTAAACGAAACTAGAAGCAAAATGTGAATAAAAATGATATGTGAATATGCCCTAGGTTATCGTTTATATAATGCATGCATGGAGTTCATAAATTGATTACGCAGAAAATAGTAATTAATAAAAAACTATTGATATGTACTGTAAGAATTCAAATATCCTTTGCAATAATCACCAATAATTAATTAATTAGGGACAAATTTATATCCAAAATTATATTGGAAAATTCTTGAAGGATCTGCCTTTACGATGCAATTAGAAAAGTTCATAAATTAATCACAGATATTGAGTAATTTGTTAATTTTTCACTGCTGAATTGGTTTATTAGGAAGTACCAGAAACACATAACCAGAATTAGTAAACTATTCAAAGAAAATCAGTATCATCTAAGATTTTGAACTCGAAGCTCGGATTAGGCAGAAAGAACATAAATTTCGTCTGGAAGTCACCTAAATCCACATGACGTGGTGGACGAAATAAATAAAACAGTAAAACGACATAAATAATTAACACATTCCCTTCCCTTCCTTTTATTCACTTAAGAATCCTATAAGTTTCTACATTCTTTAAGAAAATCAGCCCAGTGGTCTTAATTAGACAATCAGCATTCATTTCTACATCTGGCAGACGACAAATATCCAAAGGTACGCCTTTACAACGCAATTATAAAAGTTCATAAATTAACACAGAAATTGAGTGATTTATTAATTTTTCTTCGACTGAACAGGAGAGTGCATAGGAAATGAGAAAAAATTTCAAATTAACGCCGGAAGCATTATTGTGTGCATGCAGGTGTGCCTGCATCATGCAAAAGAATGAAGGTTATTAACATAACCTTCAGTTGTAATTAAATAGCGTAATTTATGAGTCATTGTTTTTCTACTTTTTATTAGTGGCAGCAGAGCTTGTATAAGAAAAGTCAATATTCTGTTGAAATAAACAGGTACGTGCAACAATAGAAAAATATTGGACCCATGGAATATCATCAGCGTAGATGCCAAGAATAATATTTTATAGCAAGAAAAAATTGAAGCAGCAATACAAATATACAACGTATGAAATGTCTATTGAATTCTAGATGGGGTAGCAGTAGGACATACAAGATAGAAATCTTTGAAGGTCAAATAAAGATTCAAAAAATGGAGATGGTTTAGGCAGATACAGGGGAATACATTTAATTTAGATGATGGTCTCTTATAACAACTAGATATAGAGAATACAGTGAGATTGAAAGGTATGTTGTATGCCTGATCTAAATAAATATTCATATCAGTGGCCAAAGTAAATGATCATCGCCAATGTGCTAAATTTCAGAATGATGGGGCTGAGGTATATAAAGAAAAGAAAGTGGTATAGTAGGTAATATATATCAACAGAGAAGGATGTGTAGCATGGATATGCAAATATAAGAATC